CTTTAAAGGGCACATTGCAGTGGCCTTTTGTCCCTGGCGTTGACTGAGGTGCCTCCAGCCAGGAGCCTCGAGGAAGGTATCTCCCACCCCTCTTAGGATGCAAGTCCCAGAGGGAGAGAGAAGGACAGGGAGGGGGGTAGAAGAGGGAGTGGGGGTAGCCACACCTGAGGGCCTCAGCAACCTCCATACCTCCTTGAAGGCCCAGCTCCAAATGCAGTTGCGAGAGGGTCAGGGCTTCACCATACACATCCAGGATGAGGGGAGGAGCACAGTCAGTCACCCCAACAGAAACTGTGCCCGGCAAGCAGACATCCTCCACTCCCGTTGTCCCCAGCCCTGAGACACTAATCTGCTTCCTGTCCCCCCGGGGATGTCTAGATGGGACCATCACATGGCCAGGGTCACATGCTACACAGCCCCAGGGCCAGCACTTTCACCACTGCACAGTAGTTTTCAAGGCTCTCTGTGCCAACAATCAACTTTAAACTTTGGAATGGGCCTGGCGGTGCATGCTTGTACTCCTGGCCCTCTGAGAGGCTCAGGCAGGAGGGTGCAAGTTTGACTCCAGCCGGGGCAAGTTAGTTTAGTGAGACTTTCTCTTGGAAGAAGAAATTAAATTAAATTTTTAAAAGGGCTGGGGGTGCATCTCAGTACAAAGGCCCTGGATTCAATCCCAGTACTCAACAAACGAAGAACTATCAATTAATCAAGCAAGCAGGTAATCTTTTCTGCAGCCAGGGTCAGGGAGACCTAGAACCCGAGGAACCTGGTTGAGGGCACGCAGCTGTCAGCTGTCCCCAACTCTCGAGCGCTGAGGGCAGAGGCCAGGGCATCCCTGGCATGGAAACACTGGTGTCTGGGACCGAGAGAGCCCTGGACAAGTGAGAGAGTAACAAGCCAGCGATCCCTTCCCGGGCATGCTGCCCCAGTCTTCCCGCGGGACTCGGGGACACCAGGTGCGGGGCTGCGGTGTCCTCTGCACAGGGCTGCAGGCCCCGGTGTCCTCTGTGGAGCTCCGGGGCTCCAATGCCTGGAGCGCCTCGCCGCCCCGTTTGAGCGTGGCGATGCTGCCACCTGCTGGGCAGAGCGCTGAGCCGAGGCGGCTGCACAGACACCCGCATGGAATGGATGGGAGCTGCGCGCCAGAGCTGGGACCGGAGGTCAGCAGAGCTGGACAAAGGGTACTCGGGACAGTGCGCTGCACGCCAAGGCTGCTGCACGCAGCCGGACCGGGTGCACGGTGCGTGCCACTGCGTAGGGAGACCCGGGCGTGGACTGGGCGCTGCCTGACTGGGCTGTCTGAACCTGGGGTCAAGGATGAGATGTGCAAAGGCCCGAGGCCTGTAGTGATATTTATCTTTGGCAGCAGCCTCTCTGAATAAAGTCTTTGTTTCCTTTTTTCCTTATTTGTATTTTCTCTGTTGTCCAACTATTAGAATTTAAGTCATCTAAAAGAAAAGGCGCCGGGGTTGGGGGATGAGTGCAGAAGCTCAGTCTGGACCTAGAACTTTCCCCAAACTCCAGGTCTCAGCGGGCCACCTTGGGTGCTTTGGGGAGGAGTGGAGCCTTTAGGAGGTGGGGCCAGTGGAGGAAGTGAGGTCAGGGGCGTGGCCTCCAGGGGGCCTTAAGTCCCGCCCCTTCTGCGCTCCTTCCGGCCCCCAGCAGGTGAGCTGTCTCTGCCCTCTCCAGCTGGTACTGAATGCTGAGCGACCAGGGACAACAGCAGCAAGGCCAAGTGACCGGGACTGCTAGAACCGGGAGCCAAGTGCACCCTTTCCTCTTCGCACTCTGATTACCATAGGTCTTTTGTCACAGTGACGGGAAGCTAGCTGGCCAATGGAGCCTGACCCGATGTGGCTGCTGCTGTGGCCGCCTCCAGCGCCTGCTGCAGGGTGGCTGCACCCAGGCGGGGCTGACACCAACACCAGTGCTGTCTGATCCCTGGGTCCTGCTGTGACCTGCAGGGTGAGCGCTGCTCCAGGAGGGTCCTTTCCTCCTCTGGTGTCACACAGCCACTGTGCAAGCAGTGCCCTGAGCACAAGCAACATAGACAAGAAGCACCGCGGGAGGAGGTGGACCAGAGGAGTTGCTGCCCCCATCTCGCTGGGGCTTCCTGCTCCCCAGGCAGGTGCTCTACCTCTGAGCCCCGAGTCTGTATTGTTATTTAAAATTTTGAGACAGGATCTTAAATTGCCCAGATTGACCTCAAACTTGTGTTTCTCCTGCCTCAGCCTCCTCAGCAACTAGGACTACAGGTGTGCAAAATCACACCTAATTTAAAACTTTTCTCCATGCCTTTATTTTTTTTTAATACTAGGGGAGGACCCCAGGGCCTTTATCCTGAACTACATCCCCAACCCCACACTCTATTTTACTTTTTATTTGGGAATGGTGGCTCCCTAAGTCTTTAGGTTGCCCCAGCTGGGCTTAAACTTGCAGTCTCACCTCAGTCCTCTAGAGCACTGAAATGACAGGCCTGTGCCACTGCCCTTGGCGAGCTCACAGGTAGAGCACTTTCCTAGCACGTGTGAGGCCGAGTTCAATCTCCAGCACCACCAAAACAAAGTAAGTCACATTCTAAGTAGATTTATCTCAGGTATTTTGTGGCAGTGCAGGAAGGAGAATTTGTTGTGCTTTTTTAAGTTCTGGTTGGACCCAGGATCTTGGGCATGCTAGGCGAGAGCTCTGTGGCTGAGTTACACCCTAGCCTCACAAAGTGTCCTCTGGACCCATCAACCAGCCAGCAGGCGAGCCCAGCCTTCCATTTTGCTGGGTCTGATCCTAGCTTTGGCCTTTGCCACTCAGCCACCAGGGGACCTGGGGCCTAACTGTCCCTTCAGGTCCTTGGTCAGGTCCCCATAAGATCCTCCTCACAGGGCTCTGATGACTTTAAACACAAAGGGATCCGAGGGGCAGGGCTTGTCTCTGCTACTGTTACTACTGGGCACATCAGCTCATGTGCCAGGGAATCCACATGATGAAGGCCTTAGCCCAGGCCAGATCCGTCCACCTGCTGCCCTACTCCGCTGGCCTCCGCAGTTCCTAGGGAACTTGCTAGTGTGCAGCTTGCTCGCCCTTGTGCTGGCCCGCTGAATGGGCACCGGCCTGGTTTCCCAGGCATCCAGCTGGCTCCCAGGAGGTTCGCCTGTGGAAGGAATTTCTAAGGTGCCTTCCAGGGCCAGGGGGGTTTCTGATACTCTGACCCTCTGTCTCCCAGTTTTCTCCTGAAAGCAGTGCTTGACACTTTTAGATTCTTGGGCAGTAGGAATGTGTCACAGGCTCTTCATAGGGACTGAGAGAGCAGTAGAGTTGAAATTCCAGTCAGGGGACTGCAGCCCTTCCAGGGGGAGAACCAGCAGTGTCTCCTGAGATCCATGCCATGTTGGAACTGAGGACGCTGTGAAAACAAATGACCATCCTGCCTCCCTGCTTAGCAATAGTGAACCTACTGCTACATGGCCTAGAGTCAAATATCCCTCTTCCCTGATCCTCCTTATCCCCCCCCCCCTCCCCGCCCATTAGCAAATGGGAACCAGAAATCTGGGCATCTCCTGGGAGGTTGACCATAGCAAATAAGGGGGACTTCCCTCTACCATTTCTTTGAAGGCACATATTTTTATTACTGTTTCGCTCTTCTGATTAATGGTACTGCTGTATTCAATATTCTGTTTTGATAAGTTCTATAGTGTTCTATATTTCATCTCATTTTGATATACGTGATTGAAAGAACAACTATTATAAAGATAACAAAATATACTGTGATTCCTATCACTGTTATCCTGGTAACTTGCTGTGAAGTTCTGTACCAATTTCACTGTATGATCTTAGTTGGCTTTATTCTGACTAGTTCTGTTGTATACTTTCAAAATTTAAAAAAAAAAAAAAAAAAAGAAATTCCAGTCAGGATACTAAAGACCAGAGACAGGGACGTTTTTCACTGCCAGCTAGGGGCAGAGCCAAGCCACAGTCCATCCTCCTTCCTGACTGGAATCAGTGATGTGTGTGGGCGTGAGCATCTCTTTTTCACACGCATGCACGCACATGCACACACATATTCTTGGACAAAGGCCCAGGCCACTGCCACATAACTTGCTGTCCAGGGCACATACACACATATCCACCTCCTCGGAGAATTTTTTTAAGAGTATGGCTTTGGGCACGGTGTGACCAAGGCTTTGCTTTGAGTATTTCCCCTAAGGTTTTATTCCATAAAATCAAATTACTATCCACATCAAGTGGTTTTATTCGATAATAGTCACCTCAAAGCTGGATGTGGTAATGAACCTATAGTCCCAGCACTCTTGAAGGCTGAGGCAGGAGGATTCTGTCTGAGCCCAGTCCAGGTAACTTAGTGAGACCCTGTCTCAAAATTAAAAAAAAAAAAAAAAGAAAAGCCCAAGGGCTGGGGATGTGGGTCAGGGCGAAGCCTCTGGATGTAAGGGCCATGCTGGGGGAAACGATAGTTACCTCAGCCAATGTGACTCTTACTCTTCCAGCCTTCAGGAGAAGTGGGCAGCTCTTGGGGGTTTAGTCTGGGTGGCAGAGGACTGGGGTGGGCAGAGACGCCTGCAGCCATGTTGCGGAGTCTCACGGACCATGGCGCTGGGAACCTTAGTCCTATTACTGTCCATAGCACATGCACGTTTAGAAGCTCTGTCCTGGCCAGACAGGGGCAGGCTCCCCAGGTAGGAGACAAGGTGGTCTGGGCCCTGGCCGTTGTGCAGCTGGAGAAAGAAGCCTGGAGGAGCAGCGGGGCACGGGCCTTGGCCTCCGCCGGACATTGCTCCAGAGCGTGGCTGTGCTGTGTACTGATGCCAGAGGCCGGGGGTGTGTGTGTGTGTGTAGACGACCGCCGCACTGCAGCCCTGCTCACCGGCAAGGATTTTGATTTCTGTTTATTCTTTGGCGATGCCAAGAGTCAAACCCAGGGTTTTGTGGGCTGACAGTGTTTTTTATTCCACTCTGGCCTTCAGAGTCACAAAAATGCTGGATGAAACATATTAGATAGAAAACCAAATTTCATTTATTCAAATTAAGTTAGGAGCTTCATATACAAATAGAATTTTTTTAATTTTTTAAAATAAAAATGATATGCATTTCAGTCCTGTAAAAATACCATCTGAATTCCTATAGACTGTCTTAAAAGGACCCGATGTAGGTGCCTGATATTCTGGCCTCTGTCTCAGGGCCAGACGTCCAGGTGGCATGGGTCACTGGTCCAGCTCGTGCTCATTCTGCAGAGTTTTCATGGCGAGCCCCCAGAGTGTCATGCTGGAGAAGAACGGGCCCTCCGAGGTCCTGTAGGCAGCGGAAGCCGTGCGGCTCCCCAGTGGGTCCCCGCAGTGGTTGTCCAGGGCGGCCAGTGAGGAGCGCATGGTGCACAGGCCATCCGCCTGCAGTGGCTCACCGCCGGCAGGGGGGCCCACATCCGCGTAGGCATAGGCGGGCGGCGGGGCCAGCTTGCCGGGTTCCAGGCCGGGACTTGCTTTCTCCTGCACGCCCGTGCCCTGGACGGGGACCGCAGCATGCAGCTTACAGTAGCCGCCGTCTGCAGGATGCCCGTCGAATTCTGGCATGGAGGCGTCGGCCGTGTGGCCCGGGAGTCTGCCTGGCCCTGGCACCAAGGTCCCAGCCACGTCCTGTGAGAAGGAGTCCGAGCTCCGCGACCTGTCCGCATCGGGCACCTCGATAGCTGGGCCCAGCCCCCGCAGTGCGTCGGGGCTACCGTCGCCGCCCGCCTTGCCATGCATGCGCTTGTGCCGTCGCAGCACGGCAGAGCGCGTGAAGCACTTGCCGCAGACCTCACAGGTGTAGGGCTTCTCCCCGGTGTGCGTGCGAACGTGCCTGCGCAGGTCGCCGGAGCCCCCGAAGCACTTCCCTGTGGGGACAGAAAGGGGCGCTAGGACCAGCCACCGCTGGGGCACGTCGGGCAGGGGCCTCTCGGCTCAGGTCTCCCCCAGCATAGCCTGTGGCAAATCCCCACACCCCTGCTACCTGGAGCCAGCTGATGTCCCAGTGGGACCAGCAGCCCCCCATCCTTTTCATTCCAGTGTTACCCAGCCTCACAGCCAATCCGCTAACACAGAAACAAGCTCCCCTAGCCCAGCATGGCGGTTCAGGCCTGGCATCCCTGCGCTCTGGAAGGCTGAGACAGGAGGATGGCACATTTGAGCCCAGCTTGGGCAACACAGTCCCTTAGCACGACCCTATCTCTAGAAGGAAGCAAACAGGGCAGGCCTGGGCTCAGTCTCCAGCACAGGGTCGAGCAGGAAGCACCTTAACAGAGCAGTGGATTCCTCCAGGCTGTGCCCTTTCGCCTGTGCATGGCAAGTCCCAGGTGCCGAGGTAGGATGAGTCCCTGAGCTGTGTGGAGCAGTCTAGGGTCTCAGGTGGTCCCAGGGGGCCCAGTGTTCGGAGTTTCCTGGGGTCAGCTTGGCATCCATGCTCACCGAGTAGCAGGGTTTGTGTGGACTGTGGACCCTGCCCCAGCTGGGGGGGCCAAGTGACCGTCTGAGGAATGGGCTGGGAGCAGTGTGGGAGGCGGGACGGGCTGTGGGTAAGGGGACTAGCTGGTGGTCCTGGGCCGGCCTACAATAAAGGGGAGGCTGAGACTGGTGTGTGGGAATGACACCACCATCCCAGGGTGGCAGTGGGTCCCTGGTGTGCAGGACAGTGCCTTCCTAAGGAGAGGCGAGACCACGGACGCAGGGCATCCTGACAGGTGCTCAGGTCTAGTGCTGCCGTTAGGCCAGGCAGGGAGAGGAGAAGTGACCCTAACTCACTCCCTGAGCTCGCCACCCTTACCAAGGGCTGCATGCAGTATGAGGCGCCTCCTGGCCTCCACGGCTGCCCACTCTGCCCCTCCACACAACGGCCTCTGAGCGGTCAGTGGCCGAGAACGCCAACCCTGGGGTGCCCTGCCCCCCTCCTGGAACTCTGTGTGCGTAGCCTCAGCGCTGTGCTCAGGTGCATGCTGGTTCCTGGCCTGGAGCCTTCCTGGCTGTGTAGTGCTCAGCCTGGCTGCCATGACCTGCAGTGCAGCGCATGACACCTGGCACAGAAGCCTTTGTCGATATTTCCCTGCGTCTTCAGGACACCTTATAGCTAGCACTGCTGGGCACAGTGGGTAGACAATCTCAGGGTCCTCCGCGGGCATCAGTTTGGGTCAGAGCCGAGTGTGGCTGGAAAGGAGAGGAGGGAGGTGCTCCCCCCTCCAGCCTGGCGAGTGGGGCCGGGTGTCCTGGTTCCCACCATTTGGAGTGCACAGCAGAGCTCCGCCCGACATTGCCTCTCCGACACCACTGGGAGAGTCCCCTGGCAGGATTGTGGGAGCCCAGGCCCCCCAAAGGAGACAGCTGCCGGGCCCAGGACGAGAAAGGCACGTCCGTGTCGCGACAGGCAGGTGAAGGGGGGGGGGGTGCCTACAGGGGACTGTGCTGTGATCGAAAGAAGAGGGGCACCAGTAAGAGCAAGAGGCCAGCTGTCTACACAGCCTGTCTATGCCGTGGGAACACGAGCGCTCAAGCCAGCAAACACTGTCCACAAAGATTGGGACGTGTGCAGTGGAGGAAGAGCTGAGAAGACCCCACCCTCCTGACCCTGGTAAAGAAGATCTGGGACAAGCAGGTCACAGAAGGGATGGGCAGCTAGGGCGGGTGAAAGGAGCAACTACTACTGTGCACAGGGTGCCTGCTAGGGTGCTGAAAGGTCCTAAAATTAGAATGTGGTGGTCACAAAGCTTGGTAAACAGGCAGGTGAAACGCTCCGAGGGTCATGAGAAATGGCTTCATTCCATGGTACAGGACAATTATCTCAAGGCTGGTGAAAATACCAGTCCTGTCCAGCAAAAACACTCTACGCTGCTCTCTCCCATGCCCCAAAGCTGACCACGGGGTCAGAGCCATGGCTTGTGGGCGGGAAGCGCCTCCCTCTGCTCCCTGCATAGCCGTGCCTGCCGGTGACGATTTGGAATGGTTCTCTGCCATTAGGGATTTGAGGCTGCATTCTGGTCTGGAGTGTGAGTGAAGCCTACTCTCCCAGAGTGTGCTGGGTGGGCGTGGCTGCCTAATCTACTGCAAGCCAGCACGGGCAGCCGACGCCTCGGCTCTTGCCCAGTTGTGCCCTGGGAGGAGGGTGGGTATGGACTCCACCTCCTGAAGCAGGACCTGCTCAGACAGACCTCCAGGAATGTCACAGCATGAGCCCATGCACTAGACCCCATGCTACCTGCTGCCGAGTCCTGGGTGACACATGGGCAGCCTCTTCAAGGCTGAGGGCGCACAGGACCTGGCCCAACGTGTGCCTGGCTCTGAGTCCTGGTTCCCTGAGGCACTATGGGCTGTCCCATGTGATAACCTTGCTGCCATCCCAGATGCAACCCCAAGGAGCCCACTGGCTCACCCTCAACCCTGCCGTGTGTGCCCCGCACTCCCAGAGGCACCCCTGGGGGCGGCTGCCCCTTCCCATGCAGCGCCTGGACAGTCTGCTCTCTGCTCCAGTGCTGGGGTCAGCAGGTGTTAGAGCGCCCACCTGTGCTGCCTGCTCTTCACCTGGGATGGGACAGCATGTGACAGCCCTGCCGCCCACCTGCACTCACCGCAGGCCGAGCAGCTGTATGGCCGCTCGCCCGTGTGCCGCACCCTGTGCTTCACCAGCTTCCGCTGCATGTTGAAGGACTTGCCACACTCGTCACAGGTGAATACCTTGTCGGCCGTGTGTGTCTTCTTGTGCTCCTTCAGGTTGCTGAAGTTGCTGAAGCCTGCAGGACAGCGGGTGGTGAGCAGGGGCTGGCGGTGCCCGAGACCAAGTCTCCCCAGGACAGGACAGGGCGGGGTGGGGGTGCATGCCCAGGCTCACCTCGACCGCAGGTGTCGCACAGGTGTGGCTTCTCCCCCGAGTGGATGATGATGTGACGCTGGACGTCACCAGAGGCTGCAAACCTGGAAGGGACTCGGAGAACTCAGCTAAGAGGCAGCAAGAGACAGGGTCTTTCCTGTGATGGCTGTCGAGGGGAGCCCTCTCTCCTGCTGCCTCCATGTGAAGTCTTGGTGGCCTGATCCACAAGAAACGGCTTCCCTGTTCTTTCTTAGGTAAGGGAAGTAGGAGGTGAAGTGGAAATTGTTTTTAAAGCATGCTTCTGCTGCCCCCTCCTGGTGCCTCGGCACTCTTTCCCCTCCTAGATGTCCCCTCCATGAGAACACTAGTCTATCTCAGCTTTGGGATGAGTGGAAGTTCTCATGCAGTGCCATTCCCCTCCTGAGACTACTGGCCTAGATCTCCTTTCTTTGAATTCACCTCTCCTCTGACTGGCATGTGTCACATGAAGGGCCCCAGGGCGCAGCCGTCTCTGTGCGCTGTGCCGCCGCAGGCACCCTCGTGTGACAGGACAGGACACTGAGAGAGGCACTGACCTCTTTCCACAGATCTCGCAGATGTACGGCTTCTCCCCAGAGTGCCGGCGCAGGTGAGTCTGCAGATTACCTGCCTGCAGAGAGAGGAAAGAGGGCGTGCCCATAACCAAAGGGTTCTTACTTTCTTTTTCTAAATTATACAAATCCACAGACAGCTCCAGCCCAACCTCAAATGGAGAAGAAGCAGGCACAGCCCAGGAGATGGCGTGGACAAGGTGGCAGGGCCAGTGTGGTGCTACCCTGCCCGGTCCTCTGCTACATGCGGGCGCCCGGGGAGGTGGCTATGGTCCCCACGCCTCTATCTTAAACGAACCTTGATGTATTTGGGTCATCTATGTGCAGTGTCATTTCAAAAAAGTAAAAACCACTTGTACATGTTTATTTCCATATTCACAACAGTGTTGGTTTTTCCCCTGACGAACATGGTTTTGTTCACGAAGGAGCCACGCTGATTGAAAGCGTTTCCCGGCAGGACAGTAGACCACACTCTGCCAGGCAGGTTCATCATGTTTACCTTTGTGCAAAAATGCAAATCAGGAGCATCACAGCATGGCAGGGCCTTTTGTATCCCTAATTTCTGAATTAGGGACAGGGCTTTGCAAAGAGTAACACTGAGATGGAGATCACCAAAAATATTTCTATGTATGAATCAATAGGAGATCAATATTAAGGTTCTAAAGGAGAGCAGAATTAAAACTGCAAAGGCCACAGATATTAATTAAAAATACTGGGGGATGTTTCTAATTAGGACTGAGAAATGAAACCTTCCTTTGCTCGAACTCAGCAGTCTCAAAAGCTGTCATTTTCCCCGTTTAATTTTTTATAGTGTTCCTTTGCCATAAAAAGGAAAAAGCCCTACAAACAAACAGTTGTACCATGGGTGATAACTCAGCAGAGCCAGCAGCAAGGGTGACCGACACCCAATCACTGTGCCTTTTAAATCTGCAAACTGTGTTTCGCGTCAGAGTCGGAGGGGGTTTACTGTCGTAGATCTGAGGATGGAGCTGACATCACCGTGACCAGACACTCATGGGCACGAAACATGCTGTCTGTGGGGCTTCACAGCAGCTGCCAGGCCCGGGGAGCACTGAGGCAGAGGCTACACGTTTACGGCTATGGAAGGTGCAGCAGTGCGAAAACTTATGTTGATTTTTCAATAACTAAAAACAGAAAATTTGGCAGAACTTGGTGAGGCAGAGAGCTTTTAATAGAACGGCTATCAGTAACAATCAGGACCCAGTACCAACAGGGGCACACACTGGTTTCACTGCCACTGCTCACGGGCAGGGCATCTAAGCCGGGAGGCTCGGGGCACTCTGAGGGCTTCATGTTTGCACTTCTGCTGCGGCTGGGAGGAGGTCCCCCGGGCCGGTTCCTTACGCCTGCCTCCCCTGGCTTTGTGGCACCCTGCGCAGAACATGGGGCCCTGGAACCCAGACCCTTGAGGCTGCCTCTGCCTCACAAAACACACACTTCTGCACCTGCCACGGCTTCCTCCCCCAGCTCTGCCCTGGGGGAACTGGGCGACCTGGGTGCTTACATGGGCATGACACAGGACAGCGGCCAGCAGTGCAGGTTCCAGTAATGTGTCTGCCCATCCTGTGGTTTAGGACCACACAAGCTGTCTTCAGCTTACACGCCACAGTGCCAGTCACTTCTAATGACAGACTAATCCCCCCACAGACTGTGTTTTCAGCACACGGTAGGGGCTCTTCCTGGTATTTCCTGTCACATCTTCATAGGGGAAGTCTTTGGGAAGCTGCCCCTGTGGAAGCGCACCCTGGCAGGCTACCTGCAGCGAGGAGGTGGGGGAGGCATTCTTGGCTCACATGCCTGGAGCACAGGCTGCCAACCTGCCAGGGCTGCTGGGCGCAGCCTCAGCCTGGCATCAGGGAAGCGCCTGCCCTGCTCCTGCACGTGTTCTGCACAGCACAGCCCATGAGGCCTGGTTCACTTTGTCCCCTCCCAGCACATGGCATAGCACATGGACACAGGACACTGAGAAGTGTTTTCACAACTGCTGTCCTTGTCTGCAAAACTTTCATCATTTCACTAGGAAAACAGTAGCAATCTGAAAGCTGCAGCCCTAAAGCTACCTAACAGACTCAGGGGCTGACCCAGAAGAAAGGCAGAGAGCGTCTGCTCGAGACAGGCCCACCTGGCTAGGGTGAGGAGGGCAGGTGCTAGGTGGGTTGGGAGCAGGGGTCCCTAGCATGGTTGCACATCAGAACCACTGCATTTAGAACTGTGATACCAGTTGGCCTCCAAACCAGAGGATCTGTATCCTGGAGGGCAGAGAAGGGAGGGTCAGGGGCTGGGATCCTGACTAGCTCTTTCCTGAGGTCTCCAGCTTGAGCCACGAAAGGCTCTGGGGTGGCACAGCAGTGTCATCACAGTGACTGCGGAAGGGGTTTTCATGCTGGGCTTTGCACTAGACCTCTGTAATGGTCCCATGACTAGGTAACACCCGGTTTCAAGAACCAGAGATGCTGGGACTGCCCCTTACCAGCAGTCAGGAACTCAGGTTGTAAGACCTTCGGGCCACACCATGGGGTGATAAAATGGAAGTGGCGGGGCGGGGAGGTGTCAGGAGAAGGAAGAGTGACACTCCCCAGGCTATGCTGTGGAACAGGCATCTCATTACCTCCGCCCTGGTTAGCAGTCTTATACCCTTGGTGACACATGCAAGGTCACAGGCAGCAAGCCCGGCAGAGGCAGGCCTTGAACCTGACCCCAGACCACTGGCAGGGAGGAGGGAGGGTCCCCAGCAGAACGTGGTGGGGTGGGGTCAGCACTGAGATGAACCTGCCTAGATGTATCGCATTCTGATGATCCTAAGACACAGCCCCAGCCCAGACAGGCTGACCGCTGGGGACAGGGTTGGTTGTGCACAGGAAGAATGCTAGGTAGGATTCGGCTCAGTGCTGGGGATATAAGTTCAAGTGAAGCCCTTGTGTCTGGGCTCTGGGAGGTAGAGCTGATTCTGAAGGCATGGATAAGGGGGAGGCTGGAGTGCTGGGTGAGGGGTGCATGGTATAAGGCGCCCATTAATTCCATGCTCCTTAGGACCTGCCGTCCATGCTACCACTTCCGGGGTGAGTGGCACTGGCATGCGCTGCCGAGGCTGTGTGGCACATGCTGTGTCAGCACTGAACCAGCCCCTGCCCTCTGCGGAGCTGTGCTCCCATCCAGGGGCAGCTGCCAACTGTCTGTTCACCTGGGAGCCAGGGCCTGGCCGTGGGTGGGGTCAGAGGGACCTCCTATGCCAGACAGGCAGGTGCCTGCAAGCCAGGCAATCACCGTGGACATTTTCTACCAAACATTCAATCTCTACATTTCTTTATGTCCCGTGCCTAGCATGGTGCCTACCAGTAATAAATGCTGCATGAGAAAGTGAACTGCACACCCAGACTGGCATTAGTGGAAGCAGCGCGAGGAGCAGGAGGGCAGGGACTAGAAGTCATTTCCTCTTACTTTTCCCAGCACCGTAAAATCAGTGGTCCCGGTAAAAATAAGAAACCATTTGTTTACCCTGGACCTAGCCCAGCGTAATCTGCAACCTTCTGGGAAATCACAGTGTGGTGCTCTAGGAACTTCATTTATCATGTATAAATGAGAAGTCCAACCGTACCAGCACTGCACCCACACTTGGACAAAAGAAAAGGCGAGAGAATTCACACAGACTGCAAATGCCATCCCCCTGCCAGAAAACCAGAAACTTGCACGAACTTCAACTTCCTGAAAAGTATTTCCTAATTTAGTCTGAAGTCTTTAAGTTACAGATATCATTGAGGCTTCTCTTGTACAAAAGTGGATCTTACTTGTACAAAAAAAAAACACTGAGTTAAAAATATAACCTGGGTTTCAGGTTTCTAATTATTGACAGCAAATAAGAGTGTTCCCACCTGAGAGAAATGTTTCCCACAAATGTTACATTCAAAAGGTTTCTCACCTAAAAAGAAAACAAAACAAGTTTGTAAAATCAGTACTCATCTTCACAGTAAGGCCACACAATGACTGCATCTCTGCCCCACAGCAGGACAGGAATATCTAATTCCTTAGACTTACGTCTCTGAGATTTACAGATGATAAAAGTGAAGTCAATATGCTTTTTCCTCTAAAAACACATCATGCTGTCCTCTAAATGTAAAGCTGTGCTGTGTGCAGTACAGTGTGTTTATGTGCACTGAGAGCACACCCAGGTTTGGACAGTCTCCTCCAATGAGATCTCATCTGACTGCTGACTCCTAATGCAAGAAACCTGCTCATAGCAGATGCTGGAGCCCAGTGGGACCTCCTGAAACATGAGCGATGCGAGCAAACGCCATCTCTAGCACTCCGAGCAGTTGTGTTCATGAAAGAAAATGGGATTTCCCCGGGGGAGAAGTGCTCTTCAGTCTGTGGCCTCCTCTGACTACAGTAAGTGAGGCACTGCTGGATGGGATGGGACAGGGTGCGCAGCAGCATGCTGCCACAAGAAACACAGCGACTCTGGGGGAGTCTGCAGAAATTAGCCCAAGGCACCGCCTGGCCTCTACATCACCTTAAGGAACAGACCAAGAACACCCACCTCCCTGGTCAAAAGGTTTGGTTAGGATCCTCTTTAAAACCCAGCAGTCACACTTGGCTCCTTCCTTGCTGTATTCCTAGGCTTAGCTACCTGGGAGAAACTGGCTGGCACTTTCTGGGCTTGCACTGGGCCTCTCTTACTCTGAGTTTTCCCTGAAAATGTCTAATGGTTTCCTTGGCCCTGAATGACTATAATCACATTACATGTGTATTTGGGACTGAAGTTTCTGGGCTTACAATGATAAAGTCCCTGTAAAAGATACAAGGCTTTGAGAGAAGAGAGGGTGCCAGTCACCAAAACTCTTGACCCAGGCTAATGACCCTGTGTAGGTCTTAGCCTTAGGTCTCAGGTGCCCCTTACAATACTGTGAAAGTTGCGGCCCTGCCAAGTTGTATGGGCTGTAACTACGATTCCATGGCACAGTGAAATGGACACAAGTGACTGCGACATATGAATACAGGTCAGCAGGCCATAGTTAAGCAAGCAGAACTGTTTTCTTCCACAGCAAAATTGAGTCAGTAATACACTTTACATGGAGGATTCTGAACTAGCAGTAATAGAGATAATACTTAGTATTCAAGTGCACTGAAGTTTATAAAGGGCTTCCTCAAAACTAACGAACTCTCCCAACAGCCTACTGGGGAGGTAAGTACCTCAGCAAGGTAGGACCCCAAAGTGCCCAGAGAACACAGTGTCAGTAAATGCGGTTACAGGAATGCCGTAAACTCAGGGGCTGGGGAGGCATCCTGCTGTCATAGCTAGTTTGTGACCCTGTAAAGTCACGCTGAATTACAGGAGGGAAGGTAGATCGCAGGTATTCTGCAAGGTGATTAGGATGTTTTGTGTAATACCTTTTTATTCTTGGTCGTACTGAGGACTGAACCCAGAGCCTTGCACATGTACAATACTTACAAAAACCTTTTGGGAAAGGGGAGAAGGAATTAATTAAGATGATGAAACATTGAACATTCAATGTTTAAAATGAAATTTTTATTTGAAAATATCAAATAAACCTAATTCCTATTTAAAAGTTCAACTCCTCCCTCCCAAATCACTAACTTTCAAATCAGATTTTCAAATTACTTCCTAGAGAACTTATAGAATTATCAAGCTAAGTTAACCTACATTATATTTTTTAAAAATAAGCTAAAGAGACAGGGATTTAGTGCCTACATGGCAAGCATGAGGTCATGAGTTCAATCCCCGTACCAAAGACAAAACATAAGCTTTATCTAACTCTAAAGAAACTAATTAAACTGACAACTAAATAAAGCTCACCTGCTTTAGACAACCTGAGTATATCAAAATAACTGCCTGCACTTTTTAGAGACCGGACATCTATCACATAAAACTGTCACTGACATAAAAATGCAAAGGTGCCACCACAGCCAGGTGTGGCGGCGCATGCCTGGGACTCCAGCCACACAGGTGGCTGGGGCAGGAGGCTCATGTGTTTGGGGGCAGTCCACACAAACTAACAAGACCCTGATCAAAGTTTTAAAAAAGGGTAGGAACACAGCTCAGCATAGAGTGCCTGCCTAACCCACGTGCTGCTCTAGCTTTGATTTCCAATACCTAAAAAGACAAAGAAGAAAAAATAAAAAATAATGAAGTCTGTCATCTTTTTAAAGAATTTCTATAGAACCATTTCTAGATCTTTGAGATGCATCACCAAAATTATACAGTGCAAAGCAGCTGATGGCCTCTCTGGTTTTCTCGTGCATGTGTGTGTGCGTTTGTGAGAGGTAGGTCTTGCTGTGTAGCTCAGGTTGGTTGGGAACTCACTGTATAGACCATGCTGGTCTTGAACTCCAGATCCTCCGGCCTCAGCCTCCTAAACCATACTGAAATGACAGGTGTGCACCGCCATGACTCAGATTTCATAGACACCAGTGACTTCAAAAGAGAGGGAAGCAGGCACGGGCAGGGGCGCTGCACACCCGCGCTCCTCCTTCCCGACCTGCAGGTCCGTGTACCTGTGTGTGACCGCCGGTGCAGCTCCAGGTTGCTGGGGTGTTTGAAAGGCTTCCCGCACAACTCGCACGCGTATTGCCTTTGGGGCTGCAGGCTCTGTGACTGCTCCTCCACAGTGGCAGGCGCCTCGGGCACCTCCACTTCAGGGCCACTGTGCAGCGGCTCGGAGCTGAGGGCCCCACTTGCCTCTGCTTCTGTGCTGTGGCTGCCTGCACGCTCTCCCGCATTCTCACCAGATTCCGGTCCTTTGGTTAAGCCATCACCTGACTTGGGTTCTGACGATCGTTCTGCCAGTTTGTGCGACTTTAGGAAATTGAGCTTCTTCAGGTGAACAGCCTTCTTGAGCTGCATCTGCTTGGTTGGCTGTTGGCAAGGGGTGTCAGCATCAGCGTCGGGGGCAGCGTCACTCAGTGGTGGGGCCAGGAAGGCGGAGGGCAGATGCTCGGAGGACTCCAGGAGGCCCTCGGAGTGGCTGACAGTGCACGACTGGGTCTCCACCACAGGGAGGTCCGTGGAGGAAGGGAACACAAAGGGCTGCTCGGCCCCACGCTCGTGGCTGGGACAAGCAGCCTGCTTGTAGTACTGCTTGCTGTAGAAGTCCCGGAGCTTGTAGCAGTAACCGGGCTGTTTGCCAGGCAGCTCGGGGCAGCTGCCATCCAGCACATCGGAGGCCTGTTTGGCCATCTCTCCCGTGGCATGATGGAGCCCGACAGGCAGGGCTGGGGCGTGCATGTCCTCCAGAACCTTGCCATGCGGGGTGTCCACTGGGCACTCGGGCAGGAGAGGCGGCGGGTAGCTCTCATTCAGAACACAAGTGGTGTCGGGGGGCAGTGCACCCTGCAGGGAGAAGGAGCTACCACAGGGCAGACTGGGCTGCTCCACAGAGGCCGACTTCAAAAAGGCATGACACAGGTTGAGGACGTTCTGAACCTGCAGGCCCTGGGCTGTGTCAAGCATGACCTGGACGTTGTCCTGGTTGAGGTCGAGGTGTGAAGTGTACATAAAGTCGAGGATCTGCCCTATGCCGCTGACGTTCTTCACATCCAAGTGGAAAACATCATTCTTCTGACCTGAGGAATTCTGGAAGAGGCTCCTGATGAAAGAAGGGAGACCTGTTTACACTGTGAGTAGAGTGCACCCTCCTGTGAACAGCATCCATGTATTAATATTTTAAAGTGTGATTCTGTGAAGTGTGATTGAACCCAGGGCCTTTGCACTGAGCTACATCCTCAGTCCTTTTTAAATTTTGAGACAGGGTCTTGCTAGGTTACCCTGGCCAGCTTGAACTTGAGATCCTGGACTGCTAGGACCACAGGCATCACCTCCTGCCTGGTTTATCATAAACATGCCTTAATGTTTTAAACCACTTTGCCACACCATCCAGTGAAGCAATTCAGATGAAGTAAGTAGTGCTCTGGGTATTCACCTTTAAAAACAGGTATTCAAGTAAATACCTGGAATATAGTCACTGAATTTATGCATAGTAACTACACAGAAATGTGACTGATACACCACAAATCAAGATCTAAAAACTAACTATTCTAAACATGATCTGTGTAACATACAGGATTATTCTCAATATTTTTCTAAATGTACACTAAATTAAATTTTCATTTAATATTGCATGTTTAGTCTGACAAGTGATACACTCCAGGTCACACAAATATTTCTATGCCTAAACGCCTCAGTTACTTCTAAAAACAAAAGCTGCTACTTGAAAGTAACCTTCAGTACATGGTCACTTGTAACCCACAGTTTATTGCACTGGTAGGTGTTTGGGCAACTCAGTGTTCAGAACCAACAGTAAGAAATGCCCCCCAAGTTCTGGAAGGAGGAAAAGCACCTCAAAGCTCAGCCCTGTCCTGGGCACAAGCCAGGCCTGCAGGAGGATGAGCTGGTACCACGTGTGACACCGGAAGCCCAGGCAGGGAGACTGCCTTGTGAAGGCAGTGTGTCAAATCTGGTCCCCTGTGCTCCCAAAAAGGCTCTGGGTCTGCCCCTCTCTCAGCTCACAGCCGCCAGTGTGTCACGATGGTGAGACCCAACCATCCTGAGGACAGAAGAAACAGGTGCCTGCCATGCCCATGCCCAGCTCAGGGACAGCTTTGCATAGGGATGGCAAGCGCGGCCTCGGGAACCAGCTGGTTTGGTAGGACACGCGTGCTAGGACACGTGTGCAGCTGGACAGAGCCGAGGCTCCGCTTCAGGACATAGGATCAGCAGGGAAAACCAAACTGCCTTCTACACGCTGTTCACCAGAGCGCTCCAGAAACCCTAGTGCTTCTAACAAGGCACCTGTGTGTTTTTTTCTTTCTTTCTTTTTTAAAATAAACCTGTTAACCAGAAAAATAACACACAGAATACTTACCATAATAATGTTAAATATAGCGAAACACAACTGCTCAGAATTATTCAATATTTATGAATGAATCTTTCATATAAGCAAAAATGATTACAGCCATAGTGTAAGTTGATAATTTTTTTTAGCACATTCAAATGAGAAACAAAAATTAAAATGCTTAAATTAAAAAGAGCCACTGTGGTCACCATGCCTGTAACCCCAGTCCTTGGGAATCTGAGGCAGAAGTTCAGGTCCAGTCTAGACACATAGTGAGACCCTGTCTCAAGAGAAAAATGAAAAATGATAGCACGGCAGGATGCTGCGTTCTTGATGTCACAGAAAAATTAATATCAGAAATTCAACTCCTCAATCGATTTTATCCCAAAAGGAAAAGAATTATAGGGAAAGGAATGAAAGTAGCTAGAAGTATTAAAATGAAAGGCAAGTGCCAAAATAATTACCCCACCTGCATTTTAGTCAGGGCATCCTTCCCTTTCAGGTGACTCTATGAACACACAAACAGTAACACTTTTAACTACATTACAGTAAAAAAAATAAAGCCCATAAATCTGCACATGCTGGAAGGACAGAAACGCACAAGGTGGCAGGAGTGGGGAGCAGGGCACGGGGCATAGGGCCACACACCTGAAGTACTGGCTGAAGGCGGCCAGCACGTTCTTGTGTGCCTTGAAGCAGACGCCGCGCACCACCAGCATGCAGTCACACAGCAGGCCCTGGATCCGCTGCTCGTGCAGCTGCTGGAGGAGGTGGCAGCTGTGGGTGGCAACCGGGTCCATGCTACACCAGGAGACCTGTGGCAGAGAGGGCAGCAAGCTCTTAGTGACATCGTGGACAAGACGGCACCGTGCCCTTGGTCACAATGCTTGCTCACACACACACACAGCCACACACCCCTGTCTGGTCAGTGGGCCTAGGCCAGTGACATGCACAGAACTGTCTGTGTGGGAAATTCCCCGGGCACCCTGCTCGGCGCACAGCTGGGAGCCAGGTGCGCTGTCTGGGCCTGGAAACATGGTGCAGGACCTGGAATACTGATGCAAGTGGTCATCAGGTGGTGTAAATCTACAGTGTGACCAAGTGGTCATAGTAATGCAGTGTACTACACTCACACTTCTCAGATGTCCACTTAGGGCTAGAGCACATTTAAAAAAGAAAGAAGAAATATATGTAGCACACAGGTGGGGCAGACAGGCGCAGGCATGGGATCTCTGGAGCCCAAACCGAGCTGCAGAGCATGGCTGGGTGGGTGGGGGAGGCGGCCTGCTTGAGGGGATAGGGATGACTCCCAGGCCCATGTAGGGATTCGACTTTGACTCTGCCAGAGATGAAGCCACGATGTGAACCCAAGAGGTCTGCTCACTGGACAGGTTTTTATTGAGGGACCATAGCATGCTAGGTCCTAGGAAAATAACCATGACCAAAAAACAAGTCCTCACCGCCATGAAGCTTCAATTCTAGGGTGGAAAATACAACGAAGTATCCAGTGCACAACTGATCAAAGCAGCTGCAGCTACTACACACTAGGCCACACAGCTGAGGAGGATGTGGCCTCGGATGGCCAGCAGCTCAGATTTACAGGACAGAAGTAGTGGGGAAGAACAGAACCAGACTAGGGCAAGACTGCGGGGATTAAAATCGAAGTCCTGCACACTGAAAATGTTCCAGGGTGTCACCAGTGTTCTCTGACCCCATTTTCAGTGGACAAGCATTACAGAGGTCACTGCACCACATGGCCAGAATCCAGGCTCCCTAATAAGGTCCAGCTCATTGCCCAGCCTTGCCTCCCGCCACGCCCATAGGCACCGCCCAAATGAAGCATCTGGGCTACCTGGGTGCAATGCGCTCTTGCCTGTACTTGGAGCCCCAGGGACACTGATCATTTGCTACAGGGCTTTGAGCAGGTGACTTTGTGTCCTGCTGGCCCCACCCTATTTTACAGACTACTGCAGCACCAGGGAGGTGGCCTGTGGGAGCAGTCCAGAAACGCAATCTCTAAGGACCAGGGAGCCTTCTAAGAGTGCGTGTTGCTCCCTGCCATTCCCACATCCTCCTGCCGCCCTGCGTCACTTACATCTGGGCGATTCTGGTACAGGAGGCCTTCAGGTGATGCCCTGCATTCTGCTCGCTCCCAGGAACCTGCATCGACACTGTTTGCACCCCATGCTCCCATTTTCCAGGTCAGACTCCCTAAGATCACCTACTTTCTCCTTCTTTCCTTGTGATCTGGGACTGAACCCAGCCAGACGGGGGTGTGATATGACTGGCATCAGCCACACATCCCCCTGCCCACCTCATCTCTCCCTGGCCTTCTCAAGAGTGGGCTGGGGTGGGGCTGCAGTGTCAGAAGCCAGGCTGCACCCACACTGTGGTGGGGCTACTGCTGCCTCTGAAGAGATAGAAAACCAAGCTCCACAATGCCAAGACTGAGGACAGACTGGGCCAATTGTTGGTGTCCCCATAACCCCTGAACCCCAAGAGCTCCTGGAATCCTCAAATGCTGCAGCAGTCAAGATTTCACTGGTCTCTCTTGCAGAGATGAAGCAGCTGCTGACCCAGTGGTGCTCCTCTCCTCCTGGGTCTGGGCCCTGCTGTGAGACAGCAGTGGCTGTCCCAGGCGCCCCCGGCCACTCCAGGAGGTATCCGGCTTGGTGGTAGAAGGGTTGAGATGTAGATGAATCCCAGATAACCCTGCCCTGTGGCCACTCCTGATTACTCTGCCCCGGCAACCCTTACTGTGAAGCTCTCCAGCCAGACCATGAAACACACAAAATTACGCATGCAGGTTCCACTCCACGTAAGCTGTGCTTACTTGCACCCCAACACTCAGTGCTGCAGCACACGTCCCGGGAAAGCCTTGCTGGGTAGGCCCACACACCACCTTGGGTGTTATGGGCAGAGCTGGTCTCGGGACCTGGTCACACTCTACTAGCGCTCAAGTGTTTCTGACTGCAGCTGCATCCTGCCAACTTGTGATTTCCAACCGAATTGAGCAGAAGAATCCTCAGCGGACTGCTGAGATCACCTCAAGTCTCAGCTGCACTTTGAGTCACTACTCTGCAGACTCTCAGAACCCCTAGATGCTTCCACACTATGACTTAGCCGAGTATCCCTCTGTTTATGTATCAAGCCCCACTGTGGCCATTTCGTTCCCCTCTGCCTGGCGCGATGTGCATCCTTCTCACAACGCTCACACTGGCGAAGCTCTGCTGGCGCGTGGGTGCTGCCCCTTAGTGTTTTCATTCACACGTGCTCTGCTCCTCCCTGTACACCCCCACGGTGCTTTTCCACATCCTCCACACTCTCTTCCTTCCTCGAGTCTGACCTCATGGACACAGGTGAGTGGTGCCTTTTGTTCTCTCCTTACTTCAGAAGTTCCCGCTTGCTCCTTCCTCCCCTGGGGCCTCCCAGGAAGCAGGGTGTCTGCAATCTACCCCATCCTTTTGACAGTTTCATTGTGCCCCCTTCTAACTCATTCTGTCCCACAAGAACTCCAGGATGGCCCATATAGAACACAAAACAAACAGAACAGCAAAGTCCTCGGCCGTCTGCCTATCCACCACAAGCCTCTTTCATACTATCCCACTTCACTTTCCTAGGACTCCTCTTCCCCCTGTGCCCTCTGCTGACAGATGTCCCCAACACCTCCCTGCAGGCCTCACCCCCAAACCCTCTCAGCTTCATGCTGACTCCATCATGCCAGGAAGCCCTCCTGGGTTCAGCAGATGCTTTTGTGTCTAATACACACAAGTTACTGTCAGGAGGACTATACAAGATCTGTACCCTGGCTTCTACAAGCTCCATGTCTGTTCTCCCTCATTCCCTTCACTTTACAAACCATCAAGTCTGCCAAATAGTGAAGAAGGTTTTTGCTCTGAGTTTTCAAAAGGATCAAAAGAAAAGGAAATGTAGGATTATGCCATCAAGAATGTGGTATATACAACCCTGCCCATAAAAAGTATCTGGAGTGTGCTGTTTGTCAACCTCTTGGCCAACTGGTCACTTTCACTGGCAGATACTTCCCACCATGTGAGTTCCTTGTTATGAGGTGGCTCAGTTGGGTTCCCAATAGTACCTCTGAATGTGATTGCATGGGGGAAGCGCAGCCCTTTAAATGGGGGAATTAAGTTAAAATAAGGCCTCTAGGGTTTCTGCTGTGTTGCACTGTGACTGATACGTTTATAAGAGACTTGGCTATGAAGGGAGACACCAGACACGTGAGAGCAGAGAGAAAAGACCACGTGAGGACACACAAAAAAGTGGCCAGATGCAAGTCAAGGAGACAGACCTCAAAATAAAGCAAACATGCTGACATCTGGAGCTTGGGCTTCAGCCTCTGGAACTGTGAGAAACAGGTTCTCACGGCATCCCTAGTAGATGACTGTGCTTGCTGTTCTGGGTCATCTGCGGCTCACTTCCAGAAGGAAACCGCCCTCATCATTCCCACACTCCATCCTGGGGTTAATGTTTTTCACGACCCTCTAGAGGCTCAGACCCCATCCATCTTTCACTCACCCATATAAACAGCAGATACTTAATGACCACCACGGCCCGCCAGAGCCCGTCTTAAAGCTAAGGTGCATTGAGCACTTACTAACCGGCAGATACCGGGCGAGCACCTGACATGCAGGCTCATGAGGTCCCACAGGCTCCCGAGGACGCAGGCACCGCGGCCCTACCCAGTTAACAGACGCGGAACGGAGGCCTGAAGAGGTCAGCTCAGCTCGGGAAGAGGCCGGGCCGGGGTGGGTCCCCAGGGCCCAGGCGCCGACCGCGCAGAGTCACGCGGGGACAAGCAGCTGGGGGGTCGGCTGCGCCTGGGGGAGCAGGAGGTCGGCACGGCGCGAGGTCGGCACGGCGCGAGGCCGGCGCCGGGCACAGACGGACCCGCCCGGGGACTCGCCCCGCGCGGACCCTCGCAGGCCCGGGATGCGGAGGTGGCGGCGGCGGGCCCCGAGCTCCGGGGCACTCGCAGGCGCCAGGCCGCGCCCGGGCCCCGTACGTCCTCGCGAGACTGTCCTTACCCTCGGGGCCACTCCCGGCCGCGCCGCCCTGGGCCTCAGCACCTAAATCCCGGGATTCGGCCGCACAGCCATCCCGGCCACGCCCCCTCGGCCGCCGGCCCGCCTGACTTCCGGCGACGTCACTTCTTCCAGGGGCGTGGCAGGCGCGGAGCGGCGTGGGACCCAGTTCCGCGCCAGGCAGCTGGGAGTGGTGGCGGTGTCTTGGGCGGCGGCGGTCCACGTGCTCCCCGCGGCCGGTTAAACTGTTGCAGGGCGCTGCCGAGAGGTGAGGAGCGGTGCAGAAGAGGCCGGCGGCTCCGGGCGGGGAGGACGAGGAGCGCTGCGACGCCTGCGTTCCCCCGTCAGCGCTCCCCGCGTCCCCACTGGCGGAGGCGGGAGAGCGTCCGTTCAGCCCGGCTCGAGTGCGGCCAGCGAGGGGCCTGGGGTTGGGGTGGCCATTTCTGTGGTCACCGCTGCTCAGGGCTTCTAGTTTGTTGCACGGCGAGGCCTGGGCTCTTGGCTTAGTCCTCAAGGAGGGGCGCTGGGGCTGGCGATCTGGAGCACAGGCCGGGATAACCGCGCGCGGAGCCGTATTGCCACTCCTGCACGTGGAACCTGGTGCACGCTACTTCGCCTCTGCCTGCCTGTCCCCTGTGCTGTCCAAGCGAAACGGGCTTATGGGAGTAGAACCGAGTTAATCACCCACAGGAGGGCTTGGCATCTATTAGACGGTCAGGAAAGGTTCAGTCTTTGCAGCGTGCACCCCGAAAAGAAAGGAGCGAGGCGACGTGTTTGCAAGCCTTCCTCTCCTCCAGAGCCGCCCGCTGAGCGCCAGGCCTGGCGTTAGACACACGGTAGTTATTAGAGCAAATCAGTGTGGCTTAAAGTTGCGCAGGTGATGTCGTGGGTGGGGGCTAGGCTCACGTGCTGGGAAGCAAAGCCCAGGCTTGCCTGCTGTGAGCCTCAGGTTGCCCGTCTGGTAAAGTAGATATCCATGCGCCTGCTGCCCAGCCCTTCTGCCATCGCCAAAGGACTGTCCTCTCTGTGATCACCTGTTGCACTTTTTATCACAACTGGGTTGGCGGCAGTCTGGCACCATGCCTGTCGCTTCTCTGAATTCTAGGCCTGGAAGGGACTTGGGTTTAGTCTAGTTGACTTGATCCATTGGTTCACAGATGAGGAGAACTTGAGGTTAAAGGGGGCAGTGGCTTGGTTTAGGTCCTGTACCCATTGGTTGTGGCTGTGGTGGGGTTGCCAGCCTGGCCCGTTAGGTGGGCCATTTTTGGAATGGTGGTGATGAGGTGTAGGTTACTGTGTGTGTGTATTAGAGAAAAGAAGTGCGTTAAGAATAGTGAATATTTTTGTAAGAAAAATAAAAATACAAAAATTTGTATTTTTGTAGGAAGAGAAAGATTAAAATCGTTTCAAATCCCAATCCTAAGGGCATATATTCAGGGAGAAAGCTATAAGCACTCATGGTGTGAGAATCCAGAAGAGGCTGGAATAAATGTGTGCAGATTGGTAGATCAGGGTCATATGTTAAGGAGCGCGTGTTCCAGAGAAGACTGAATACAATAGCATTAATGTACAATTAATTGGTCACATAGAAACCCACCTACAGTTGGGTAATGTTCAAGCTTCCATGACTGCTATTCTGTTTAACTTTTCAAGCACTGCATTGAAATGGATATTAAACATATTACAGATTCTGGGAAGTTAAGTGACTGTGACCATGAGATCACTGAGTTTTTAATGACCCTTCTGGTGCTGGCAGGTATGGGCTGCAACCTTTGGCCCTGAGTCCAGGCCCAGTGCAGCAAAACATGACCACCATCTGTTAAAAGGAGACTGAAGTCCCTACCGATACGATCCTTCTCAAGACCGCAGCCCCGGACTGCCCCTGGCTGCTTCCCCCAGCTCAGGATTGCTGTCCACTACTTGTTGACGTTTCCTTGCCCAGGGTGAGCTGGCTTTAGAATGAAGCCCCAGGGTTCTAGTATTTACGAGTGGAAGGTCATGTTGTGGAACTTTCTGCTTTTCCTCCTTTGGATGATGCTCTCTGGCTCTCAGAGTAGGGGCCAAGCAAATGGCAGGGATGGGATGGGTAAAGGTCAAAGGTCGAGGCAGCACCGCCTTTCAGACACCTCAGCCACTCACTGTGCCTGCCGCAGACCCTTCTGAGGCTGGCTGCACACCAGCAGCCGGAGGAGGTGAGAGCAGGACTGTCCTGGAGGTGCTGTGTGTGGTCATGGTGTGAACATCAAGGCACTTTGTAGAGAGCTGGGGGTCCCACGTCCTGTCTTTCTGGCCCTTGACTTTTTCTGGGGTGTGGCATATGATGAGAGCTCAGTAAACTGAAGGGCCACTGGAAGCACCTTTTTGGAATTTTGTAGCATTTATGTCTCTGAAGTTAAGCCAGCGCCAGCACTAAGGCTTGACTTGCTTGCTGTCTGCAGAGCGGTGGAGCTTGCTGTTCTCCACAGCCTGTCCGTGTGCTGCCCCCGAGAAAGCTGTTTTCCCCTGGGGACGGGGCAGCTTAGAGGTACAGTCCAGATTACTTGGGCTGGTGCCAGCTGTCCTCAGGCTCTGTGTGAGCTCCGTACAGGTCCGATACAGGTCTGATCTCCTTAGCTGAGCAGATGGGCGCACTGTTCCTGGGTCGAGTCAAGTGTGAAACCTGTTCTGCCCCCAAGCAAACAGCTATGTAAGCTACCAAATGAAAGTGACCCAGGAGGGACTTTTCAGGAGGCCTGTGGCTCTCCTGAGCCAGCATCTGCATTGTGGCTTTTCTCCAGGGGGATCCGGCCTTGCACAGGTGACATGGGCACTTTTGTCAATACTGTGTCTTCCTTCGGCTGGAGGGCCACTTCCATTGTTGGACCTTATTGTGAAAGTACTTTGGAATTTTCCAGCTGATAATTTGACTCACAGCAGCTGTTCTGCTTTGTGCACATAGGGACAGTCCCTTTCTTGGTGACTAGTGAAGGATTTTCTCTTGTTCGAACACAAAAGTGTACCTCCAGCCTGTGATGATGTGACGCTGGCTCTTGTTCCAGCCTTTTTTCTCCCAGGCAGAGTGGCTGTGCTTCGAGCCTGACAGTCACTGAACTCTCTCTGCATGCTCAGAACCAACAGTTTCCGGGGACCCAGGTGAGGTCAGGGGACCCCAGCTCCCAGAGCTCATGCCTCTGTTTCAGGACTCGGTCCTGACCTGATGAGATGCAAGAGAGGTTGCAGCATGGCCAGGGCCATTGTGCTTGCTTTCCTCAGGATTCGACGCAAGCTGTGGCTAAGCACATGCCTTCTTTTACTGACCTAGCCTGAGAGGAAGCTGACAAGGGGACCTGGGCCTGCGTCTGTACCCAGCAAGTCAGGGATGGGGATCTGAAAGCAAAGTGGAGTATCCCTGGGCCTTGGCACCCCAGGAGGGGCCAACGGGACGAACATTTCCTTTCGACGCTGGGTGGCCTTGTGCAGCCTTGATCCTTGCTTGTGCAGAACCTGGGGCAGAGGCGGGTTGATGCATGCGTGAGGGTTCACTGCAGGCAAGGGGAGCCCACTGCCAGGATTCCTGGGCAAAGTCTTAGCCTGAAGCCTACTCCATTGGTTCTCTTAATGGTCAGTTTCATCAACTTAAACAGCCTGCAGGGTTTTGCTGTGAAACTGATTTATAATGCAGAACATGGAAAGCGAGGACGTTCTTTTAGCCTCTGGTGATTACATAAGCAGGGAAAGTTACTGTGGCTTCTCTGCCACTTAGCTGAATCCCTGTGTTGCTGAGCACGGTAGCACACACACACACACAAACACCCTGTGAGCATCTTATTTTGTTTTTCATGCTGAGCTGCACTCTAGCCTCCTTTTCTATTTTCTTTAATTTCAAGACAGGGTCTTGATGAGTTGCCCGGGCAGGACTCTTAACTTTACTGCTCCTGCCTCAGACTCTCAGAGTGCTGGGGTTACTGCCTATGCCCCATGACATTGCAGGGTGGTTATGTATATGTGCACACTGGCTTCCCATGGGGCAGTGCCCCCGAGACCCTACACACCTGGATATGTAGGGTCTACACTCAGCCCTTGCAGTCGAGGTGCCGAATATGGTTCCAAGTCTTTCAGATTGGTTTGACTAGAAGCCCAGTGAGGGCGGCTCCTCCTCTGCTCCTAGCCCCTGAGGCAGGCAAGAGCCCAGGCCTCCTTCCCACACCGGTGGGTACACTGTAACATCCCTCCCAACCTTCCTAGCACCTGTGGGAAAGTCTTATTTTAGAGTGGCTTGATTTTGTGATACAGTGTCTCCCAGTGTGGTCTGGGCTGGCCTGGAACTTGGGATCTTCCTGCCTCGGTCTTCCGAGTGCTAGGATGACCACTGAGCACCGGGCCTGACAAAAGTTGCTTTTAGGCTTTTTCCCCGACTTTCTAAATGTCCCTCAACTTTCCCCTTGTGTTTTTCTTACTGTGTAGGAACCTGAATAGTTTTCAGTGTACACCTAAATTACCCTGTGTTTTGTAAGTCTCATATAAACATATTTTAGCTGGTGAGAATGGGAGGGAGGAGAACTTAAAGGCACAGGGAAGGTAAAATACATAGTGTTCTAAAACCTCTGAGTGCAGTAGTCAGCTAGGTTTCAATCCTGATTCTGCTGCTTCTCTGGGCCAAGTTACTTAACGTCTCTGTGGAGCAGTTCCCTCTGTAAATTTTGAACAGTGACACTTTTTCCCTCACAGGATTTCTGTGAAGGCTGAATAAGTTAGCACAGGAAAATGTGTCAGAATGATGCCTGACAAGAGTAAATGCACACTCGGCCAATGTTCGCCTTTTTCACTGTTTACTTAGAGGACAAGTTTTATACAGATTGCTTGTCAACACTGAAACCTGTTGTTTTCATGTGAAATTATTATGAAAAATCCATGCAAATCACTTATTAGAATAGAACTTTCAGCTTATGATACCAATAATCTGTTTTTCCTTTTTGTTTTGTGTGTTTGTTTTTTTAGGACTAGTTAAGACCTATCTCGCATAGAGAATACTGAATCATTTAGCTAAAAATGGTATTTTTTACATGCAATGCATGTGGTGAATCAGTGAAGAAGGTACAAGTGGAAAAGCACGTGTCCGTTTGCAGAAACTGTGAATGCCTTTCTTGCATCGACTGTGGAAAAGATTTCTGGTGAGTTCTGTATGGTTCGTGCAGATCCACAGTGAAGGTCCAGAGCAGTTTGGGACCTCCTGGCCTCACAGCGGCAAATTCCAGGAAATGAACAGAAAACACCTTGCAGGATCTGTTGATTGAAACTGGTATGGCTCCCACCAGTGCTTTATGAAACAGTTTGGTTTTCAAGGGAGTCCTAAAGAGAAGGCTGAAGGAAGAAAATCATGGTGACTTCCACGCTGGTCACAATGATGCTGGGCGCCCTCTCATTGCCACCTCTGCCAGGCCCAGGGTCACAGGTGCCCAGGGAAGCCTTAGCGCCCCTCTTACAGCAGCTCTGGGATGTGCCCAGGCTACAGAACAGGTGGATTTACCTCCAGAAAGCGAGCTTAGGGCTCGGGCTGCTTGTGCCTGGGACAGATGAGAAGAAACTCAGACCGCAGCACGGCACACGGCTTGGTCAGAGCCTGCTACATGGTGTCGCTCTAACAGTGGGCTTCTGATCACTTTCAGGGGTGATGACTATAAAAACCACGTGAAGTGCATAAGCGAGGACCAGAAGTACGGTGGCAAGGGCTACGAGGGTAAAACCCACAAAGGGGACGTGAAGCAGCAGGCATGGATTCAGGTAAGCTCTTCCCGATCCTCCCCATTCCTTCAGCGATCTGAGACCTGAGAACAAACGTCATCCGTGCAGAGGAGCCCCAGGCACGTCAGGGTTCAGGACAGACTGCGGTTGCTTGAGAAAAGAGTTCTTTTCTAATGCTAATACAGTTATGATGCATTTTGTCTTTCATGCACAAGTTTTTCCAGTTTCTCTTAAAATTATTCAAGAATTCTCATTAGCTTTCTGTTGTCTACTGAGCCGAATAGAAACTCTCTAAATTTCTTTTAGTGATAATGCAGCTCTTTATAAAGCAAATCATGGTAATCACATCCTTTGTCAGAATCGAGTTAAAATAGACATTTTCATAAATATAACAGTTCCCTGCTTAGCTAAAATAAGATGAAAATGTATGCAGAGGAATGGCAGAAGCCACGAATCTTGTTTGGCTGAGAAGCGTAACCTCCAGGATGTTACTGGTTGGCTTCCAGTATATTACAGAAAGCAGGTGAAGGACTCAGAAAAGAAAGTGCAGAGAGGAAAGGCAAGTGTTGCCTCTGAGAATTGAGCATTTTCCTCAAAACCTACCTGAAAGTTCCCACTTAGTATTAGACTGACTGCAGATTGTCTGACCCTGGCCGCCTTCCCAATCAGCAGTGTTCCTCAAAGCACAGTGTTTCTGTCGCAAAGGACCTGCTGTGTCTGCCCGTGAGACGTTTAGGCTGGCGACCGTTAGCCATACCTGGGGACATAGTCTCTGAGCCCTTGACACCCTGCTGGCATTCCTAGGCTCCTGGAGAGGGGACCCAGGTTCCATCTCTGCTGTCTTCACAATTCGAATGAAATCCTCTCAGAAAGCAACAGGTGAGCCAGAAGTAAGCAGCCAGAGGCCCAGCTTGAGTCTGGTGCAGGCCAGAGGAGAGGCATCCATGTGGGTCACCGGTGCCCTCTTCTCTCGGACACTGCTGGTCATTCCAGCGAGTGCTGGGCCAGCCTGAAGTCTTCCTGCTCGCCTGGTGGTGGTTTTGTTGCCTGAGGGCCTTCAGTTTTGTCTCGTCCCTGCTTGGGTCCTGCATCTGTTTTTCTGGCCCGCGCGTGGGAAGGTTCGTGTCTTTGCCACGCAGGAACATTCTCCTTGTATTTGCGTAACCCCGTGGTGTGCTAGGGTTGGTTTGCTGATGATTTTCCTAACTGTCTCCTGACAGTTTCTTAGCTGTAACAATTGCTTTTTTCCCCTGCCTTCACTGGCATTGCTTAGCGTTTGCTCTAAGTCTCTAACTTTGCTTTCGTCCCTGTTAGGTTCTTGTTATTTCAGACTCATGCATAGCTCGTTTTGAAACCCCATTGGTTAGTCTCTGTGCTCCCAGTGTGCAGTCACACGTATCTGTGTTGTTCAGCTGCCATCGCTTCCACAACTTCCGGCTGAAGCCGGGACCCACCGAGCGTGAACGCTGCACCCTCCCTGTCTGCTGTCTCAGGAACTCACAGCAGTGGAGTCGCACGGCATCAGGCCCTCTGCCTGGCTTGTCTGGCGGAACAGCTGTCTTCAGGTTAGCTTCCATGCTGTGGCAGCCGGCCAGATTTCCTGTCTTGTTATGTGGGAGATACCCATCAGATGGTGGAACACGTCCATTCTCCTGCCCATGGGCACCTCATTTGCTTGGACCTTTTGGCTGTTGTGAGCATAGGTGAGCTGCAGGTGGTCTGCAGATTCTTCTGGGAAAGGAGACTGCTGGGTCGCATAGTGGAATCTCTGTACTGCTGTCTGCAGCGGCTGCAGGGTTCCTATCCCTGCCAGGAATGCACAGGGGCTTGGTTTCTTCACATCTTGAAGAATGCTTTTAATTCATTCTCATTCTCTCTGTCTCTCTGTCTCTCTGTCTCTGTCTCTCGGTAATAGTTATCCTTCTGTGTCTGACATGATCTCATTGTGGTTTGGGTTTTTGTTTCCTAATGATTTGGGGTTTTGTTTCCCTCTCTCTTTATTATTTTATTGTCTCTTCTATTTATTGGTATCATTTAGATATACATAATGATAATATTCATCATAGGGAGTTTGTACCTGTATAGGGTATATCTGGATCCTCTTTTTTTCCCTAACCCCTTCCCCTCCCTTTAACCCCTCTTCCTATCCTTATTTACAAAGCTTTATTTCCATTTTATCCTTCTTTTTATCGTCCCCCCCCCAGTTCCTCTTTCCTTTTGAATAATTTCTTATCTTAAAATATCTGTTGTACATTTGGTCTATTTGCTTTTATCAGCCTATCATACCAGGGAGATAATAGAATATTTACATGTGTGTCCAGTTTGTTTCACTCTCGAGTATGGTCTCAAGATGCTCCATTTACCTAGAAATGTCTCAAGTGTATCCTTCTCTGTGGCTGAGTAGTGCCTGCTGCATATAAAACCATCTTTTTTTATCCATTCCTCTGTTGATGGGATGTGGCTAGTGATTTGTGATATTGAGCATCTGGTCTTGTATGTTGGCCATCTGTGTATCTGTTTTGGAAAAGAGTTTAGTTCTTTGCCCATTTTAAAAATTAGTTTGTTTCTGATGTTGAATTATAGGAGCTCTTAGCATATTTTGAACATGAAACCTTTATCAGATGCGGTGTACACATATTTCTCCCATTCCGTGGGTTTTTTGCACAGTTGATAATGCCCTTCAATGCATAAAAGTTAATTTGGGGGCTGAGGATTTAACACAGCAGCATAAGCGCTTATATGGCAAGCACGAGGTTGTGAGTTTGATACCCATTACCCAAAAAAAGGTTAATTATGATTGTAGTCCAATTCATTTTTTCATTTCATAACCCACTGTCTGTTGGAAACCTTCCTCTCTTCCACTGACTAAGCTTAATATCCTCGTTGGAAGTCACGTGACCATTCATGCACATGTCTGTTTGTTTCCATAGAGCTATCATCACACTGTTAATTAGCTTTATAAATTTTGACATAAAAATCTATTCTCCTTTCAAGATTGCTTTGACTAATGCCCCTCAAGAATCCATGTTAATTTTGGGTGGATTCCCTCAAATATACGTATAAACTGAATTTCGCTCTTTTTCGCTTGGGGAAGAATTGACGTCTTAATACTATGGGGTCTCCCATTCCATGAGGATCCAGGAGGGTGAGTGCTGTCCTTCGGGTTCTTTGAGCCATGCTTTGGAGTTTGAATACACAAATCTTTCGCTTCTTTGGTCATGTCATTTCCTAATGATTGAGTCTGTGTTGTTTGTTGTGCTGGGCATGGAACCCAGGACCTCATACTGAGCTCTAGTTTTATTCTTTTTTTTTTTCAAATCTGTTTTATTCAAGGATGAAAAGAAAGAAAAAAACTACAACAAAATTTCAAAACACGTCAGTCGGGGCAGCAATGGTACATACATTGTGACTGCCATCCCCAAATCAGTCACCAGAGCACAGGACATCTGCGTTCAGTTGTCCGAACAGTATCAGCATAAATTTTTTTCTTCAGTGAACTCAGAGAAATCAGTAATACAGCTACCTTAACTATTTTTATATATTTACGTATACATATGTTGTTTCTTACAATACAGCTTCCTCTGCACTGCAAGGAAATCTCTCTAGGGCTCTCTAATCTCTAGATCTCTCTGTCCTAGAGAGATTTCCTTGCTGTGCAGAGAAAGCTGTATTGAATCCCAGTGTACGTGGTCAGGACACCGGCTAAGGTTCATGACAGCCTAGCAACTTAGCTCTCACACTAGTGAGACAACACGATGTTTACATGTGAGTCTTATTTATTTCATTAATGAGTATGGTCTCAAGTTGCATCCATTTACCTATAAAAAGTCCCCCAGTTTATCCTTCTTTATGGCTGAGTAGTACTCCAGTATATGAAAATACATCTTTTTTATCCATTCTTCAGTCCATGGTTATTTAGGTTGTTTCCAAGATCTGGCTCTTACAAACTGTGCTTATATAGGCATGTGTACACATAGATCCCTGTGGTATGATGTTTTTAATTCTGGGAAGATAACCAGAAGAGGAATAGCTGAGTCAAATGGAACCTCCAATCCTAGTTTGTTGAGGAATCTCCACACTGATTTCCACAGTGGCTGCACCAGTCTACACTCCCACCAACAGTGGAGAAGGGTTCCTTTTCCCCACAGCCCCCCCCCCCCCAGCATTTGTTATTGCTTGATTTCTTGATAACAGTCATTCTTTCCGGGCTGAGATGGAATTTGCATCTCTGAGCGGCCGGTGATGCTAAGCTACTTTTATTCTGAGACAGGGTCTTGCTAAGTCGTCCGAGCTAAGCATGCTGGGCTTGCCTGTGCTTCTCCTTACTGCAGCCTCCTGAGCAGCTAGGTGCCCAAGCCTGTGCTGCTACACCTACCTTATTCTGTTCTATAATTTTCTAATTTTGTTTTTGAATTGTTCTTACTGTCTGAAAATGCAACTTGACTTTTCTTTCTCTCTCTCTCTCTCTTTTTGAGACAGGGTCTCCCAACAGAGTACAAACTGACCTTGAACTCACTATGTAGCCCAAGCTGGCCTTGATTTTAGGGCAGTCCTCCTGCCTCAGCCTCCCACCCCGGCATGCCCAGCCTGCAGTTTGATTTTTGAGAGCTGACATACCCCACAACTTCCCAGTGCTTCTCGTGTGGAATTATTAGGGCGTTCTGCATCCCAGTCCACATTGCCACAGAGGTGTCATTGGTGCGCAGAGATAATTTTATTTTGTTCTTTCCGATTAGGAAGTGTCTTAGTTACTTTTTATTCCTGGCTAGGACAAAATACCAGATGCCCAAAGTTAGGGAAGGAAAGGTTTATTTCTAACAGTTCTTAGAGGTTTCAGTCCGTACTGAGTTGGCTCCAAGGCAGCATGGTATGGTGGGGCAGCCTTTCGTGGCCGCTGCAACAGCAAGGCATGAACCAGAAACAGTGAGACACAGCTCCTTCCCGCCCTTACATCATATGCTGGCCCTACCCCCCGTGGGTGTAGCATTGCCTGGTGCCCCAGTCTGAGCTCGACAGTGAACCAATGACAGACCATAATTGCATGAGGCCTGGGGGCCACTGACATAGACCATGATGGGAAGCCTTTCAGGTTCTCTTTCTTGTCTAACTGATCTGTCCAGGGCTATCATGAGTATCAGTGGATCCATATATGTTTAAGCTTAGGTATAAATACAGAATCTGAATTGCAAATGTGAGTGGGTCCTTTGGTCATAGCAAGGCCTTGGGTTTGGCTTACATGTTGCCTGTTTATTGTTCCACATTTCTTTGTAGAAAATTAATGAATTGATAAAGAAGCCTAATGTCAGCCCCAAAGTGAAAGAACTTCTAGAGCAAATCAGTGCTTTTGACAACGTGCCCCGGAAAAAGGCGAAATTCCAGGTATGGATTTGATTGGCTCCCCCAAGGGGGGCTGTGTGACCATGACTGCCTTGTGTGCACCCTCAGAATGAGACCTGTGGTTCTTTTTCCTTTTGTTCTTACAGAACTGGATGAAGAACAGCTTAAAAGTTCACAGTGAATCCATTCTGGAGCAGGTGTGGAACATCTTTTCTGAAGCTTCCAGCAGTGTAAGTGCAACCCTAGTTTAGGTCTGCAGCGCTCAGCAGGAGTGATCTCTAATAATGATGAGCAAACATGTGACATGTGGGCCCAAGGCAGCCTGCGTTTCTAGGACAGAATAACTGTCCTGGAGAGACTTCCTTGCTGTGCAGAGAAAGCTCTAGCGTACCCAGTGGGTACGTGGTCAGGGTACCAGCTAAGGTTCACGGCAGCCTAGCAGTCAGCGGGGAGGGCACTGGGAGGGACAGGAGCTCAGGGTTCTGACAGACCTGGCTCAAATCCCACCTCCGAGCCTCAGTTTCCTAATCTGTATCAGGAGTGGCATTGGCACTAAGCAGAAAAACAAAGTGAGGGGTATGGCCGAGTGGTCCTGGGTGGAGGGGGAGAGGCAGTGGGGGGCGGTCTCGGTGCTTCCCCAGGGGCCCAGTGCTCAGGGTGCTCAGCTGGCACCATCGCCTCCCTCTGGCCCCATTCGAGTACATACTTCACCTGCCTGTTGCACTCCGCTTCCCTCCGGAGCCTCCATCAGAGGTCTGAGTCAGCGGGGCTCTGCCTGGTCCTGTTCTACATAAATGATTGCGAGTTACTTATGTAGAGAAAATAATTCGGCAGCAGATCGAGATCAGAGGAGAGTTTCTCTTGGTGATACATCCAGCATTGGTTTCTATCAGAAGGTACAGGTTGGACCCTTGGAAGCTATGATTTGTCACTTAAGATTCCTTTAGCGGTTTCTCTTTTGAAATTATGAGCTCATTAAAAAATACTACAATAGCTGGGGAGGGTGACGCAGCCCTGTCACCCTCGCTCCCAGGGAGGCTGAGACAGGATTGCAGGTTTGACCCAATGAGACCCAATCTGAAGATACCAGGGCCAAGGATGTAGCTCGGTGCAAAGGCCCCAGGTTTGGTTCCCAATACCTTAGGAAGAAAAATGAACAAACAGAAACCCATCAAATCAGCTGTGATGCCTGTGCTCTGGGAGCAGGAGGACGGTGACTTGCTGTCCCCCAGGGCAACTCTGTGGGTGGTGGTTGCTGGGGCCCCACACAGCCAAGTGTAAGTCCTTGGCACAGCGCAGGGCAGAGCAGAGCAGAAGCCCTGTGTAATAATGACGTGCAAACATGTGACATGTGGGCCCAAGGCAGCCTGCATTTTAGGACAGAATAACTGTCCTGGGAGACTTCCTTGCTGTGCAGAGAAAGCTCTAGCGTACCCAGTGGGTACGTGGTCAGGGTACCAGCTAAGGTTCACGGCAGCCTAGCAGTCAGCGGGGAGGGCACTGGGAGGGACAGGAGCTCAGGCCAGCCACATTGCTGACGCTTCTCTCCCTCCTTCTCTGCCTCGTTGCGCCAGGTGGGGGCTGTGCTGCACTGTGTGGCTTCCCTTCCGTGGCTGTGGCACCAGTGGAGGTGGGTGGGAAGGAGGGTTCTCTGCCTGGAAGAGGTTTCAGAAGGGCCCGGGATGGAGTAGGGAGAGGGCTGGCTGGCTTGTTTCTGAAGCAGCTCTGGCTGCTGGTTGGGAGGTGGAGACTTGGTCTCCCCTGAGTGGCGGGAGGCCCCGATGGGTGTTAAGCGCCCCCTGCAGTCTGTGTGGTAGAGGCCTTGTCCCCAGGCTGGCGCTCCTGGGAGGTGGGGTGGGGAGCCTTTCAGGGGTCACAGGGCTGGGTCCTTGGGTCACAGGGCACATGTGCCCTTGAACAAGACCTGTGCTTCCTGGCTCAGGCTGAGTAGTGCTCCTTCCCATGGCTCCTGTGCAGAACAGTGGGGCCACCTGACCTTGGACTGGAGCCTCCAGAACCATGAGCCAAAGTAAACTTTTCTCTGTAAGTCTGTCGCCTCGGGTGTTTCACTATGGTAATGGGAAGCCGACTAGCACATTATGGCAGTGTTCCCCCGTAAAACAGACAGAACTGCAGGCTAGGCAGGAAGCTTCTCTCTTCCCCGCTTCCTCCTGAGTCTACTTCTGGGATTCTCCTTAGCTTCTTTCCCCTGAGTCTTCCCAGCTCAATGTCTCTGAACAGCTTCTCACAACTTGAACGGTGTAATTGAGTGTCTGTTTCCTGTGCTGCTCTTGGAGGTGCTGAGCAGTCAGGCTGGGTCCTCACTCTGCTGAGAGTCTCTGGTCCTTCAGAGGAGAAGACAGTGAGTCCCTTGTCCAGGCCATCTGGCTGGGGACAAATGGAGCAGGACCTGAAATGCCCCAGCCCAGAGGTTCCCAGCACCCAGAGCAGCCTGGTGGCTGCAGTCTTGGCCACTTCTTCTTCTGCCAGGGGCACAGGGCTCAGGGCATGCAGCAGGGGATGGGGCTGAGCAGTGCCAACGGTACCACTCAGTTCAGGATCCATGTGCCGATTCTGGTTAGGTAATACAGTAGATGGGATGTTCCAGTGCACAGGGCTTTTTAGTTTCCTTTGGTTATGCATCAGTTTGTTTTCTGGTGCTGTAAGAAAATATACCTAAAGCTGGTACTTTGTAAAGAAAAGAGGTTACTTAGCTCACCGTTTTGGAATCTGGAAGTCCAGGATCGAGCAGCCTCATCTGTTCAGCCTCTCTGGACCCCCAACCTCCGAATATATTCACAGCAGGTGACATCACAGTGGGTGGAAGGGACCTTGTAGCAAGACAGGAAAGGCTTGCTCTTTAATAACAACCTACCATTGAGAAAACCAAGTCCTTTGGAGCCCAGCACTGATCTCCTTAGAGGATGGCACCTTCAGTGACCTCACCACCTCCCCAGGGCCCTGTCTCAGGGTTCCTCACCTTGCACCAGTGTGAGTCGCTGTCCCTGTGCCCTGTGCACGGTCCCCGGCATCTGGGTGACAGTGCTTGTGTCAGTGTTTGGTGTCCTTTGCCTGCCTATTTTCTGTTTTTGCCGCACACAGCTGTGCGAGGCAGGTGGGTGGAGCAGGGGAGTGACTTGTCCCCGTCACCTGAACCCAGGCCGCAGACGAGTGCAGTGATCTCCACACCTCCATGTCCCTTGTGCGCCCCATGGAACCTGAATAGAGAGCGGGACCCAGTGTCTGGCTGGAGCAACAGAAGGATTCTCTGTTCCTGCATCTTCCAGTGCCGTGAAACTGTCTGAAGATCTGCTCGGGCAGCGAGGCTGTGGGCTGGGGAGTTTTTCCTCGTGTGGGATTTACTGCTGCCTTCAGCCACGGGGCTCTGGGTTGTGAAAGGGCATAGTAAGAAACCACAGTGACATGAGCATCTGTGTGCATGACATGAGCATCCGGGTGGGACCGCTGTTGAAGTGTCACTTGTTTTTGTCACCTAGGAGCCAGGCAGCAAGGGGCCGGAGCAGCCGCCCCCCACGCAGGGAACCAAGCCCCAGACAGATGCCGCCGCCACCAAGCTGCCCCCCGCTGACACGAACGGCTCCCAAGGGGAGCAGGCGCAGATAAAGAAGAACAAAAGGGAGAGAAAGGAAGAACGGCAGAAGAGCAGGAAAAAAGAAAAGAAAGAACTGAAATTGGAAAACCATCAGGAAGACTCGAAGAGTCAGAAGCCTAAGAAGCACAGAAAGGGGCGCGAGACAGAACCAGAGGCCAAGGACGAGGAGGCCCCGAAGGCCAACGGCTCGGCAGGGGGTAAAGGCGAGAAGCAGCGGGGCCAGGCTGGCCTGGCGGTGGCCGAGGGCGGCCCGGACAGCAGGCCGGCCGCGGGGAAGCGCAAGCGGAAGCAGTCGGAAGGTACGCAGCTGTCACTGGGGTTGGTACCAGCGTGGTCACGAAGCGAGCCCGGTTCCGTGAAACCTGGGGGAGGGGAAGGAGCGAAAGCTCTGGGCTCTGAGCTGCACACGGTCCGGTGGTGATCTTGGTGCCCTCCCTGCCCTCCTCAGCACGCAGGGTGATGGGACTCGGTGCTGGGCTCCTGCGGCGGAAGGTGACAGGTTGCTGGGGCGGGGAAGGTGACGGGTCTGGTGCACTCATGCAAGCAAGGCTGTCATTCAGCGGTTGACTGGTTTCTTTTGCATTTTCTAAATATTTAGTTGAAGTGGAGTCTAAGAAGAAAAAGGTGACATTCCCAGGCGATGCTGAGGACAGAGAACCAGAAGACCAGGAAGCTCCTGCAAAAGGTATCTCACCATCGCTGGAAAACACCTCCCTTAGGCCTGGAGAAGGGGTTGGAGAAGCCCTTCTGGGGGCCCAGGCTGTGTGTCAGGGCCCTGGGCTTTGTTGCTCCTGGGAAGATTCCTCTGACTAAGGAAAAGGGGTGTCTGGGCCAGATCTATGTGCGTCTATGTCCCGTTTGCCCCTGGCAGCATCAGTTTGTGGAGAGAGAAGTGTTTGGTTAGGGTTAGGATTCTGGAGCCGGTGGTGGGAGTCGGGATGGAGCGGGGCTGCTCAATTCATGTCCAGGAAGTGAAAGAGGAAGGGGAGCCCTGTGTCCCAGGGTCCCCTTCTAGGGCACCTCCACAGTCCTGAGAAGACTCCTCCAGGCCTCACCTCCTAAGGGCTCTGTTGTTGCCACTGGTGCCAAGCGGGGTTCTAGGCTTTGTAGTCTTGTAGGGGACACTACAAGCCCACCCTGTAGCAGTGCCTTGCCTTTGGGATAAAGGGGAGCCTGGAGGGGCTTCCAGAGACTTGGTTTCTCTCGCCTGCCCTAGTCCTCTGGTTCCTGCCTCTTGTTAGGCTCCAGAGCATCCCCAGGGTCAGGACAGGTACAGCTGTGCCCCTGCCTGTTGGCTGCCACCCTGTGCACTGCAGGAAGCCAGGCCTCCTGGGGTCCTCTCCTGGAGCCTGTCCCGAACAGCACCTCCCACTGAAGTGGCCTGTGCTCATCTCCCTGTGTCCCCACTCCAGGACCCAGATGGGACTGCAGTGTTAGCAATGGAGGTTGGTTGGGACTGGCCAGGCTGGGTTAGAGCTCTTAGCTCGAAACCCCTCCTAGCTCTGTACCCAGAGCTTTTACAAACTCAGTTTGTTTAGGAAGTCGTGGGTTTGTGCACAGCCCTAAGGGGTAACAGCCCTAAGGATCCACATATGCCTCCGAGTCACACCCCAGGGGCAGTACTGTAGGTCCAGATTCGTCCTTGGGGTGAGGATGCCTTCCGGAAGTGCGGTCCCCTGGCTACAGTTCCTTGTGACTGTCCCCTCTCTGGAGCCCTGTGATATTGCTGGTGCATGCCGCAGCCTAGTGTTGGAGCCAACAGACACAGGCGACCTTTCCCCAGTGGTTCACGTGGCGATAGTGCTCGTGATTCCTGTGTCACTTCTCACAGGAGAGCAGGGCTCCAAAGGGCAGTGTGTGCTTCGAGACCCGTGCTTGGACAGACGAGGGCGCCCTGCTGGGCGAGGACTGGTCCTTTGGCTTGCTCTCACCTCATAGGGCCTCCTGTGCAATGCTTTGCTTTGCAGGCAAATTCAACTGGAAGGGAACTATTAAGGCCGTTCTGAGGCAGGCTCCGGATCATGAAGTATCAGTCAAGAAGCTGAGGAAAAAGGTACGGGTGCGGGCTGGCTGGGGAGAGTTCCGGATTTTAACCTGAAAGCCGTGAGGAGAGGAAGTGTGATTGCCAGGCTGTCTGCTTCGCCTCTTGGGTCTGGGGCAGGAGTTGGGCCAAACCCCTGGTGTGGCCGTCAGTCGGCCACATTTGCGTCAAGCCTTTGGAAGGGAGGCCTAGGCCCTGTGTGTTGAATTTGCATTGGGTTTGGACGTGACTGAGCTAGGTGCCCTCCAGGGTCCAGGTCTCCTCTTTTGCACCTCTCCAAGGCGGCAGAGTCCACTGTGCGACCAGCTTGCTCTCGGCTTGTCCCTGAGTCACCTCTCCCAGGTGAATTTCCAGGACGAATGTCCCTGGTAACCTTGTTTTTCTCTGTGAAGGTCTTGGCGCAGTACCGCACAGTGATGAGTGACTGCCACAGGTCGGAGGAGGAGCTCCTGGCCACCTTCAACAAGAAAATCAGCAAAAACCCCAGCTTCCGCTTGTTAAAGGACAGGGTCAGGCTGCTGAAATGATCCTTTCACTCTTTGGAAGTTGACTTCTTGCTTTCACTGCTTTCTGTAAAATGTGTAATGAATTATAACAACCTCCACTTTGCTTTCTAAAGCCGTATTTTTAAGTTAAGAAAAAGATATATTTTTGTTAGAACTTTTATGAAAAAAATAAAGTATATTCTTGTCCAGGATCCTAAATCTGTGGTGGCAGAATTATTGTACTTTTAAAAATAACATTTCTGTGTGGAAAAGTTAGTGAAAAGTCAAAAGGTAAGTAACTCCTCCTTTGATGGATGTGACTGTGAGTGTTTGTTTTAATCCCTTTGCTTCCATGTGTTTCCCTGTGCTGTGAAAATACGCGTGTACATCACAGCACTGAGCCCAGCAGTGGCTGTGAGAAGTCCTGTGTGTGCTGCCCTATTCAGCCGGAAGTCCTGGTCCTCAGGAGAGGCCTCTGTGACAGTCTCGCCGGCTCTCGCTGTGGCCCTGTCTGGCCAGACGATGCTTCTGCACTGATGGCACTGCGTGACCTGCATGGTGCTGCTTGTCTGAGTCCTGGTGTGTCGGCCCGGGTGAGGCCATGTGCATCTCTCCCTCCTGGAGGAGGTCATGCCCACTGGGTTTCTGAAGGCTAGTGCCTTTGGTAAGCGTCACCCCCTTTAGTATTCCATCCTGCATGTGAAAGCAACACTGGGAAGGAACAAGGGCTGCAGGATGGGGCTGGGGAGTATCGGGTGAAGGTGGCCTCATGGGACCCTCCTGGGCTTGTGTGAGCCCGGGAGCCAGTGTCTCTTCCAGCCTTGCCTGTGGTTGGCTGTGACCGGGGAGGTGTCATCAGTGTCCCTGCATCCCTGAGCAGGACTTAGGCCGCGTGATCGGGCCTGGCATCGGGTCCTGCTTTCTCCTGGGCCTCATCTTCCTCTTCCAGTTCATTCCTAGTGATTGAAGGAAGTAGTGGAGTCACAACTCCAAACCCAGAACCTCAGCTGCTGCCGCCATCCTGCTGGTCCTGGAGCAGGGGAATCCTCAGGCTGTCCTCCAGCACCAGAAAGGTGGGCCCCGATCATGTACCTGCTTCGGGACAGAAGCCAAATGCAGCCACCCAGGGGGTCCCCTACTACATGTGTCCCCACCGTCCTTGGCGTGTGGGCAGATGCAGAGTGCCCCTGTCAGACGCTGATGTAGAGACACTGCAGCATTTCAAGATGTGTGTCTGTCAGTCTCACTGTGACAGAATTAAAATGTGTACTTAATGTCACAGTCATTTCTGTCATCCTCGTCAGCTGCTAACCAGGTGCTTCAGGGATTGCCAGGCACAGCAGCCATCCCAGAGTGCTGAGGGTGTGTCCTGTCTGACCTCGAGCACCACAAGGACAGAAGCGAGGCCAGTGGTCCTGTGTCAACCTTGCCCCTGCCCTGGGGCCTTGGCGTGCAGCCTGCCCCTTCCTTGATCATCCCCAAGGTCCTCACATGGAGTGAATTTCAAGGATTTTTGTCTCTTATACTTACCTCTTGGGGTAGCATGAAACTAAAACACTGTTCACAGAGTGCCTGGCACCTAGTAGGCCTCTGAGGAGTCCTTAACAGACACAAAGTGTGCAGCCCTTCTGAGGCCCTAGGGGATGGTAGCAGCCAAGCCAATGACATTTGGCATCAGATTTTATAGCTCTACCTTGTCCAAGTTAAATAGAACTTCCAACGCTACCATATGTGTTGGCCTGGCACGCACGGATCCCCGAACCTGCTGGGATGTTTGGACGCACCATTGCCTTATCTTGATGCCTTAATTCTTGAGGTATTCCCAGTGTTTACCAACTGTGTCCTGGCCATTTTCCGCTTAGCAAGGAGAATTCAGGAGCGGCTGGGATGTGTGACTGTTGTGTGCTGGGACCCTTCTACCATCAGGCGGGCACATGAGGCTCCTAATAAAGTGTGGGAGTCAGAGAGTAGACTGGGCTGCTCTGTTCTCTGCGGGCCTCGAAGTCACAAGGACTCCCAGTACTTGATGGCCAAGGGGCATTTAGATGGAGAGTACCTCCTGGTGTCTGGATCTCAATACATCCAGCTTTTCCCGTGTCCTCCAATTCAGTTTTGAAATAACTAAAATCTAAAATCAGCCTTCACTAAAAAGTGCTCTATTTCATAGCGATTCCTCAATTACAGGAGGGCAAGAGGCTTGTTGTATAGTTCAGACTTGGTATCATTCTGATAAGCTGGTTTTTGTTCCAAGAGATGATGCAGGTGATAACATTTGAACACTCAACCCTTTCATTTTCAGGAGAACTGCTGGCCACCAGCATGTGCTGCAATTTTACGTTGCAGCAAAGCCCGACGGGGGTGGGGAAGTGGCTCAGTGACACAGCACCCGTCTGGCCGCACCAGGCCCATGTTCAGTGTGCAGCAGTGGAGCGAGGGTCCCTGATGTCCGAGGCCACCTTCCTGTGCTTTCCTTAGCCCTCTGTCCCTGAAGCCATCCCGCATCCCAGGACCACTCACTCCAGACTGTATAGCCTGGGCTGAGTTCCGTGCCAGGCCTTGGGCCCAGGAATCTTCAGGAGGCATCAGCTCAAGCTCAGGGAAAAGTCGTGGCCAGAAGAGAGAGACCATTCAATCCTGCCAGGGGTAGGATGGAGGCACGGGTTTATTCTGGTGCTACAGGTCGATCATTTGGAAGGAGCAGTGATTCCTTACCAACACCACGTGCAAGGCTGTGTCTTTTGAATGTGGAGGACATGAGATGCTCATAGCCAAGGGCAGCTTGGACTTGAGGCTGAAGCCAAGCTTGGTTTCTTACCAGCCAACAGCTCCTGCTTGAGCAGGAAGGCCAGTTTCTCTGAATTTCAAAGATTTTCGTCGCTTACACTTACCTCTTGGGGTAGCATGAAACTAAAATACTGTTCACAGAGTGCCTGGCACCTAGTAGGCCTCTGAAGAGTCTTTAACAGACATAAAGTGTGCAGCCCACCAAGTGCCACCCTCGGAGACCCTGGCCCAGAGGAGGCACTGCCTCCTGCGTGAAGCTCCCTGAATGCCTGCACTGCGGCAGCAGGACCATGCAGCAGGGCGACACATTTAAACAAAGAATTCCACCATGAGTGTGAAGTGGCACTCTGGTGACAGCCAGCGTGTAGCCACATCTCAGGACAGTGACAAACTCCTGCAGCAGCCCGCCTCAAGCGAGCCAGCGCTGATGCAAACAGCTGTCGGAAGCACAGCGGGACACGTGTATTGACACACAAAACCACTTGCAGCGTGCCGTGCAGCTCCATGGATTATGCACAGAGTACACATATCACTGTCATTAAGTAAAAGGACAAGATTATGTCCAGGTATTCATGGCCTTTCTTTGAACCCTTGGCTTTGAACCTTCGAAGCATTGGCTTTGCTTGGTTTTGAACTTGATGCAAATGGAATCACACAGCAGGCACCGACTTGTGCCTGGCCAGCGTCCCCTGAGAGCCATCCACGTGGCTTTCAGATATTGTTTCTTATACTGCTTCACAGACTTGACCCACTCCGCTGTTGGTGGGATTCCAGCTGTCTCCAGGGCATATGGGTTCCCAATGAGTTCAGGGTCTTCCCCCCAGCTGCTATGTGCGTGCTGCTGCTCTCATGAGTGACATCGCTGTCACAAAGCACATTCGAGCTTGAAAAGACACAGCCAGTGTTTGGAGTGCTTTCTACCAGTCTATACTGCCACCCTCTGCCTGCTCCCAAATCTGGTATTTCCCGAATTTCCATCTGTATATTACCTTCTCATGTACCTTCATGGGGCTATGATAAGATTACAAAGCAGAGGAAAGGGGTATCCCCAAGCTCTCACAGCAGCTCAGTCTTGAGTGATGTGGTGGAGCACACCTGCAACCCCAGCATCTGGGAGAGGCTGACTCGGGAGAATTGCAAGTGGAAGCCCTGCCTGGGAACCCAGCAAGATCCTGTCTCCAGATAATCAAAAGGCTTGGGGATGTGGCTCATTGTGAAAGCCCTGGGTCCGATCCCCAGCACCACATACGCGTGTGCATACACACACACACACACACACACACACACACACACCTTGCAGCGTAGCAGTGCTCTGGCTTAAAAAGTGGCATCTTAATCCTGTTCCCACAAAGAAACTCAATATCTCACTCAGCTCCCTTAGCATTACATTTTTTTTAGCTTCTGTAATTTGGAATTGGGCTTCCTAACTGTCTGGGTTACAAAACAGGGAGATTTCTTAGAAAAAGAAACATGCACTGTTGAAAAGAAACTCTATTTTCTTTCCCAGTGCAAATGCTGCTTTGGCTTTTTTTGTTGTAAGATCCAGGAAGCTTTAATTTATTCCCTTTGATAGGGATGATGAAGCTGCCCCTTTGGTAGCTGAAGTTGTAATTGCTGAGTAAATACATATGTTTGTGGAGCCTCCAGGGTCAGATGGCGCTCAGGAGGTCACCCCTTTGTTGAGCCACAATGAGGCTATTGTGAGACGCTCAAACACCCCCCTCTGCAACTCTCCTCTCTTCCCTGTGACCTCAGGCCGATTGGTGTCACAGGCCTGTGGTCGATCATATATTAGATTTCTCTGTCGCAGATCAAAGCGAGGTAAAGGACCAATTCTACTGGGTATTTCTGATTGCATTGCTTTGGGGATTTGGTATCAAGCTGGAACCAGGAGTTTAATGGTAATGTCATTGGATCCCACTGCAGCCCATTTTATACCAAACAGGGAGGTATTATACTGCCGAACCTGAACAAGCAGCTGTGGGAGGCTTCAGGAAGAAGTTAAGGTCACAGAAACTTCTCCGCTTTAAGGTGTTCCTGCATAGGGTTTCAGAATCGAAGCCTCTTGGCTCCTGCATCTGTGAGAGATGGGCTGAGATGCTGGGAGGGTTGGCACGGACTTGTAGAGCACTGAGTTCTTTTTTGCTGGCTGCATGCTTCAGTCAAGGTGTTTCACAGAAGCACCCGCCACCTCCAGCTTGGATGAGTTGGAGCATCGGAGTGGTAATGACAGCAGCCACTGCACCTGGAGGACAGTCTGTGCCCGGCAGTGTTAGCCCACACCGCCAGGTGGCCTCACGGGCTGTGTCCCAACTCAGGCTGTGGTCAGGACGTGGCCGCCTTCTCTCACAGCTGGGTGTCTGCCCATCACTGCCCACTGTGACAGGCTGATGTCTTCTCCCCTTATTTTGTTTTTCTTTAATTTGGGGACCAGT